ACTTAGACGGACTTCATTGGACAAAAAGCGTAATATGAAAACACTACAGAGAATTCAGAATACATGTTAGTTTGGTATAAGTGTGGCTAGGCTGGGAGTTCTCCAAATATCTTGGCAGCCATGTTATTAAAGATATTACATTCCTCATGAAATCTGTAAAATTCTCAGTATAGTTAAATTCTGAATATCGAACGATAATTCGTTTATAGAGAACTATAAAACTTCACCAACATTTAACTTTTGCTCGATCTTGTTTGGTTCAAAATTGCCGTTCTGTTCTGAAACCAGGCAGAGTCTGTCTTGTGTCGTTTATTGGAGAAGTCGCATAGGGCTGCTAGTGGTTGCTGTGCTAGGTTTATACTTTAAAGAAAGGGTGAAGTCAATATTACGGAATATATTTGGTGCTGTGTGCAAGTCACCCTTAGAGGAGTGACTGTACGGCAAAATGTTGGGACTGAGTTGATGCCAAATTTATGAGTTACATGATGAATCAGGGGTATACAGACCCCGCTTAAATATATCAGATGAATGAGAGGTGTACTGGTTTAAATGGTGTTACATATACACATGTTATCATTGAAATTCCCTTCTTTGAAGTTTGAATGTTTAGGGATTGCTCTGTTAATACCTGACTTTTTTTCTCTCTATAACTCTAGGCAAGTTCCAAGCCTTAGGTTTTTTTTCGTGCTTCGGTCCAGCGATTACGTCCAAGCTGTTGTCGAATCAACATAGGTGCTTGTTATTAAGTTAAAAAATTGTCACCAGCTTGTACCTTAGGACGGTAGCGATTTGTCTCTAGCTCACCCTGTGGTTAAAAAAGTAGCAGCATTCATTTAAACAATGACCAAAACTTTTTCTAAATCTATGACCTCGACCTCGAAGTAAATTATAACGCATTTCTTTCAGAAAACGATTATCCTCGCAAATATAGCCCATTTTTTGAATACAATTCGCATCGTTCCACTCGTATTCAGTATGTTCATAATAGTGTACACAATGTTCCGAATTACCCACATGATCGGGATTACCTTTGCACCAATTGGTAAATTCGAAATGTTTACCCGTAGAGTGCCAAATAAAAGTACCATCCTTGCTTAAGTCATTGCCACCAATCCAGAGATTGGAGTGTTTATCTAGAAATTGTTAAAAAAACACAATTCTGAAAAATTTGTCTAAAATCAATCAATAACTTATCAAATTTTGTTTTTAATATTTTTACTAAAATAGCATTTTTTTCTGGTGTATCCACGGCTACTAGGGTCATATTTTTGGCGGCACAAGCATTCCAGGCCTCAAACCAATTGAACTTTAAAGAAATATGTATAATTTTAAAGTTAAAATTAATTTCTTTTATTTTTATTAGAAAAAATTCTCACTTTTAATTCCGTTTCTATGAAAATGGTGCAAAATCATCTTCTTTATACTATTTATGGACCGGCACACTTTCAATAATTTTTATTAAACTTATAATAATCATTAAAATTCTTAATTGTTTCATGTTGCCCGGTTTAATTTATAATGAAATTATAATTTTAAATTTTATACTGAAGTTTTGCAAAACCATTGATTGATAAGCTCGATTTGAGAAGAAATAAAATATTTATGAAATTTCCTTAGTTTAAGATAAAAACTTTGTGAGAAATAAAAAATACATTAAATTACTTAAAAGTCCCCAGAATAGTGTTATTTTTATAAAAATTCGTCATTTCCTTTTTTATTTATCTTGAAATTTCAAAAAAAGAGAAAATTTAATTTTTTAATTTATATAAAAATACTTTAATTAAAAGAACTTCATTGAATAAATTAAATTCAAAAACTAAAGTGAAAACAATTGATCAATAAAATTCTTTTTTACAGCTAAATTTGTACGCATTTCCTTTAAAAACCGATTTTCTTCACAGATAAAACCCATTTTTTGCATACAATTAGCATCGTTCCATTCAAAATCTGTGCGATCGAAATAGTGCACACAATGTTCTAATTCGGTATAATGATCTGGATTGCCTTTACTCCAATTGGTGAATTCAAAACGTTTGCCCGTTGAGTACCACATAAAGTAACCACTATTGCCCAAGTCATTGCCACCAATCCAAATGTTGGAATGTTTATCATCTATTTTTAATGAATATGTATATCGGAAGTAAAATTTTGCCTAAATTCTTTAATAAATACTCACCAAATTTAGTTTTTAATATTTTTATTAAAGCGGCATTTTTTTCTAGCGTATCCACAGCCACTAAAGTCATATTTTTGGCGGAGCATTCATTCCAGGCTTCGAACCAGTTGTACTTTAGTTTAAAGGAAATTTTAGATATTTAAAAATTATTTGAATTGTTTTAATTCGTCCTTACTTTTAACTCGGTTTCTATATAAAAGGGTTCAAAATCGTCTTCCTTGTACCATTTCTGTACAGGCACACTATCAGAAATTTTGATTAATATGCAAAATATAATTGTTAAATTTATTATAAATTTTAATTGTTTCATGTTGGCTGGTTGAATTTATAATGATATTTGAAATTTTTATTATTAATTTTTATTAATCTCTAATTTGGTTAAGCAACATTAGGAGGGCTTCAAATTATTTATGCTTACAATGGTCAATTCAAATAGAATTCTAACCTTTGATGCTGTTCGATGTCAAAAATAAACTTTTTTATTATTTTTTTTTTAGAAAACAGATCTAATTTGACACTTAACTTAAAACTTTCTGACTGTTCCCACTAGGTAGATCTGTGGCCACATTCTGGCATTCGAAGTTTTAATTGTGAGGAATCCCAAGTTGTTCTTATATATATTTATGTTTACGCACTCGTACTGCTTTGAATTTGTAATCGATATCACGAATTTCTGAATTCATTTTGACCTTGTCGAAATTTACGGAGATTAGCCGATTGTAAAAGTTTATAAAAATAAACAGCGGCGATAGTTACCCGAGTGTAAAGAGTTATCTCATATATCCGAAATGATAACATCAGTTCCTCGCCAGCTCCTGGGTCAGCGTTTATGAAAGTACCGGAAAGGTTATAATGCTCTTCCCCTTACTACTATGAGTCGTTTTATCTTCCCAGCAAATATTTAAGAATATTTTGTGAATTAACAAATTTCAGAACGGATGCAAACAGAACCATTTTAGATTCTTGAACATTTACCTGTTCTGTTCTTTTAAAGAGTGGTACCTCAACACTCCTTTTATGTTATATGTTATACATTAGTTCTTTAGTGCCGCCCTGGTCCAATGGTGATAATTTCGTAAAAAAATCATGTTTTTAAATGGCAAACTTGCACGAGAACAGTCTTAATCAAGTTTTCCCTGCATTCCAGATCTACTTCAGATTCTTAAATAGTAATGTGAATATACTTTTTAGCTTCTATGGAACTACATCCGAGGGTGATGAACTCAAAGAAAAATCATTAAGTAAAACTGATTCCAAATCGTCTATAACGTTTCCACAACAATCGTTCTGAATGTGACAATTTCGAACTCCATAATTGAAGAAGGGAGTATAGGCTTGAATCATTAGTGCCAGAACTAGTTGTGGAACTAACACAATTTTCCAGGGTTTTTATAAATTTAATATTTTAATATTACAAGGAAATTTTTTGGAAAAAGTGCACTTCAGATTCTTGGAAACCACTTCAGATTCTTGGAACTAATGATATCGCCATTATTTCTAGATCTTTTTCACTGAAATAATATTGTGACTCTAAAGTATTTTTAAAAAGTTTTCAAGGAACTAGTTCTAGAACGAGTGCAGAAAGAACCACTTTAGATTATTGGAACTAGTTATATCGCCATTATTTCTAGAACTCATTCTTCAGAATAATGTTGTAAATCTAAAGTATTTCGAAGAAGATTTTAAGGAACTAGTTGCATATTGCTACTGAAACAACTTCTTGAAACCAGTTAAACAATATTAAAATTAAATAAATTTAAAATCTCTTAGGGATTGAAGAACGAAGAAACCGAGAATATTGAAAATTAGATTTGTATACCCTATGGCGGCCAAAATGCAATAAATTTTTCAAATGATTGAATTTTTAAAATTGACAAATTCTAACAAAAATCTAAAAAAAGAACTAGTTCCTGAACTATTCTTAACAAGATGTATGTATATAATTTCTAATGTTTTCCTAGAACTAATTCCGTTTGCGAGAACTGGTTTCAGACTCTATATCGCTTCCAGAGAGTTCCAAAGCTGAAAATTTCGAAAAAAAAGTCTTTGGTCTCAACGAAAAAGTAGGTCGGGGGCAGGCTATAGGAACTTGTTATGGAATTAATAAAAATTTTCTGGGATAAAAGATATAAAATTTTAAAAATAACGGTTAAAAGCTTTAGTTTCCCCTTTGCTTAAAAAACCTACCCCATCTGGCATCTTTTTTTAAAGAAAACATGTAAACAAATGAATAATAATGAGAGAGTGTAAAAATATGACAGAGAGAGCGTATATTCTAAAGTTGTGCTTTTTCTCTGCAGTTAACTAAATGAAACGGTTATATTCGAATAATTTTAACAAAACGAATAAAGTGCTGGCATGTTTGTTGCTAAAAAATTGAAATGAAATTCAGTTGCTTTTTAAACGTCAACGGTAAAAGACGCGTGTTTCGTAAAGGAAACGGAAAAAACAATCAGTTTTTAAATAAAAATTAACGTAAAGTATTTTGTACAAATAATAAAAACAAAACTAACAAAGTTTAGTTAATATAAAAAACTAGTACATAAATAATATGTAATTATTTTTAATTATACAAACAAAAAAAAAAGTGGTTTATTTAAAACAACAATTACTAATAAGTTTTTGATTACAATAATACAAAAGTGTGGTTGGTGTTTTTTTTTTTTTTTGCTTGAACTGAAGGTAAACCAGTTTTTTTTTGTTCAACTTTAAAACAACAAGTTCAAAATTTTGCGCGTATTTGGAAAACCAAAACAACAAAACAGTGATAAAATGCGGGTGCTACAACAACAACAAAAGTTTAGTTTTTGTAAATTTATATGGACAATTGTTGAAGAAGCTTTAATTTTTCTCAAGGCCAGTTGTAATTTTTAGGGAAATATATAAAAACGAAATTTTATGAAAAAAAAAAAAACGAAAAAAAATAATTAAAATTTTATTTTTAATGTTTTCAACTAAAAAAGTGTGTTTATGTGTTTGTTTTAATCATGTGCTTTTTAAGGAAAAAATTTTGTTCTTTTTAGTGATTTGTTTTTATTTCGGCGTTTTTTTTAACGATTCTCCTAAAAGGAAATTAAATAAACAACAACATTTTAAACAAATATCTACTGAATTAAAAAAAAACAAAAACAATGTGTGCAAACTTAAGTAAAGTGAACACGATGATGATGTCATAAATGTTTGAAACAATAACAACTACAACACGTAATCATTAAAATAAAAAGTGATCGTCGTTGTCGTTCTTGATGAATCGAAAAAAAAAAACACATTTTCAATTAGTATCTGTGTGTGTGTGAGTTTGTGTTTTGCAAATGTATTTCTTCAATTTCTTTACGTTTGACTGACTGCTGGCTGTATTGTTTTTGTTCCATTCTAAAGTTTTTGTAAACAAATTCGTAAGATAAAATATCTGATTTTTTTTCACCCTTTTTATTATTTTCTAAGTAATTTATTGTTATTTTTTTAGCAAAATTAATTTTAAACAATTTATTTTTAAATGAACTAAAAAGAAAAGAAAATTAAAGAAAAATTTGAAGGTGATCATCAAAAATATTTTGAATTGTTCTAAATTAAGTAGTTCTGAAACAAATCCCAGATTTTTCTGTAACTCATTCTATGGCAATTTGTTCTGATTCTAAAGTACATCTAAAGATTTTCAAAGGAACCAGTTCGTTAGCGGTAGTTAGACATTGGCCTAACACAAGTTCCATGAAAAGCCTACAAGTACCAAAACAACCTTTTTGGAAAAAGCTGTTTCTTAAAAATGTCCCCAATCTTTGAAATTTCCATCAAAAATCCTTAAAAAAAAGAACTAGTTCCAGAACTGCTCTAAAAAAGGTGTAAATGTTATCTAAAGCTTTACTAGAACTAGGTTTAAGGATGAGAAATTTGAACAGAAATTAATGATTAAAGAATTGGTTCAAGAATCGCTCCTAACGTTTCTAAACCTGTTTCTTCAAGTTCCTGTTTCTGTGATAATTTCGTATAAATATCATCAATCTCATACTAGAACGGATATAGGCTATAATAATGCGTTCTAAGACGAATTGTGGAACTAATGGCCTCCGACAGGTTATTTGGTTAGAGTTCTAGTCTGGTAAACCGGTGGTGGTTGGTTCGATTCCCACCTGAGGCACTGATTAAGGAGCGCATAATAGGCCCGATGGAGGCCTAGGTGTCATCGTTTCGAACTAACTCTCTAACTAATTGTGGAACTAAAGAAATTTTCAAAATAATTTAAGAATTTTGAATGTTGTTTACATTTTATAAAAGGATTTGAAAAAGTTAATTTCGACCTTTTAATCCCCTATACCAATAATGAGTAAATTTAAAGTTTTTTTGATCCAGAATTCGGATCCATTCTGATCACATCTAAGTCTATTTGTTAGATTGATCCAAGGTTTGGATCCGTAACACAATTAAGTACGTAGAAAAGCCGGAACCGGCTTTGAAAAGTATTAAGTCACATTAAGTCTTCTTTATCTGTTGACAAATCTCTTGACTAGATTTTTGACTACACATTAGTCTATGAAATAGTCTTATTACGCACTAATCTACGGACTAGATTGTTCTATGAACTAGTCCATGGTCTATTCTCTATACTATGAACTTATATTAATACTAGTCAAGTCTATATACTATGACTATATACTATAAAGTATGTAATATATTGTGGGTGTATTGCGGTATTTTTAGATGTCAATAGTTAGTATATTCATACCTGATTCTGAATCATGTAAAAGTTCAGTCTGAAGCAAATGCATACCTAAAATAAAGTTTAATTTATCGGCAAATAATTTGGAGACTGAATTGCAAAACATCGATTATTTCAAAGTTTTCATTATTCATTAGGAATAGTTTGCTTGAGGTTCGGAAATATTAAGCTTTATTGCTTATTGCGAATATGAAACGAAACTTTTAATATTAACGATTTTGAAACTTTTTGGTACTTTTTCGTACTTCAAAAGGGGACATTTTGGCACTTTTTCGTTCTTCTATAGTATTAAAGAAATATGACATTAAGCATGTAGTGCTTACAGTTTCTGCAATATTTTGTATACAAGCTTAGTCTAATTTTTGAACTTATTTATAATTATTATTATTCACTCTGATTATATACATAAATAATACTAAATATTTATTTATTTTATCTTTTAGTATTTGTATTTATTTCAATTTGTAAACAGCATGATGACTTCATTTCATGATTTCTGTTTTATTTTTTTTTTTCAATATTTTTTTAAATCATGGTCTTGCTAAGAAAACCAGATATATGAACATTAAAAAAAAAAATAAACTAATTTATTTCTTATTTTTATTTGTTT